AGGTATTTATTTGTTAAATGAATTTTAAATTGAATTACTTACTTTGCATAATTAATTTATATTTTCAATTTAGGCTAGATTTTAATAATTTCTTATTAAAATAATAACTTGCCTAATTATAATTATTTATAGATTTTAACAATTATTTATATGAAATAATCATTAAAATGCATTTTTACATGCTTAAATACTTAGGAAAATAGTTTTAAATAGTAAACAGTATTGAAAAATTATGAAATTATTAGGAAATCATTATTTCATACAATATGAATTACTGTAAAATTTGTATATTTTTCTGAACTGTTTTAGTATTTATTTAATATTTTAATGATTAAACAACACAAAATTCGGGAAAAATAGTAAATGATTCTCAAAAAATCTGTAAAATTAACCATAGTTTTATAACATGATGTAGAGCCCAGTGTATAAGTTTCAGATATTTGTTACTATGGGAAGTATTTTTTATATATTTCATTATTAATTAATCAATAAAATCATAAATAATAGTAAACAGTAATATAAATGCATGAAACTTCATATATCATGTTTAATCAGTATACAAGTCATCCCAGAATTTTCTCAGAATTTATTGAATGCAACAAGTATTTTATGTGAATTATTGCCCTACTTTATTGAAATAATTATGATAATTCAATAAAAATAAGTTATTTTCTGAAAATTTCCAGAACTTCTTATTTTATTGATGGTATTCTGAGAAAAATCAGGTTTATGAAAAAAATGAGTTTTAGATATTTTGGTGGATTTAATTTGTTTCTTGTATGAATTTGAAACTTTTAAGAACATACCTTGATGAATGCTTCAAGAGGGATGAAGATTTGAGTATAATAGATTGTTCTTGGATGGAATATGAGTATTCTTGGAGGAAATTTCGAGATTGAGAGTGAGAGAAAGAATAGAGAAGATTTAAGTGGTGAAGAGAATAATGTGTTGGGAGAAAAAGGAAAGGATTTGTTAATCAATTTTTGATTTATACACCGTTATCTCAAATACAATTGTTTGTCGACTTCAAAAGAAAACAAATTTCAAATTATAAATGTTTCAACTTCACAACTTTCTCTACTAAAATTAGATTACTCACCAACTCTCGTAGTTGACCTGTTTTTAACCATGATGCAGATTTGAAGAATGAAGATTGATGAAAAATAGGGTGTGCCTTAGAAATCCACAAGACAATTTAAATTTGATGTAATAAATGTTGTTCGTATTTGGATTTGTATTTGTATGTTGTGGATCTTGTTTGCATACTTAGTACTTAATTGAATCTAATCATATTATAACATAGTTGTCATGAGACTTTGAACAATATATCACGCCTTGATCGATTCCGACAAGGATCGGGGTGTGACAGTCACTCTTTGTTTTTTGGTACATTACAATTGAGAACCTCTGTTTATACCTATAACTAGCCACTATAACTACCGTGACAATTTATTGTGTTCACTGTATGAAATAAAGAAGCTGTCATTTCTAGTTGTTATTGTCAACAAATGATGCATTTACTTGTCAACAAAAGAGGCTCATCTGCGAACGTTGGGTTTATACTCACAAAGGACTGGTGTATGATGGATGGGTTCAACAAAACCTAATATTGAAACACCCTTCTATTGGGTGCATTGTTACGCATTGTGGTTGGGATTCGTTGTCTGAGGTGTTGGTTAACAAATGTCGATTAGTGCTGCTACCACATGGAGGTGATCAGGTCATACATGCCAGGATAATGAGTGAAGTGTATAGGTTTGGGATTGAAGTATAGAAAGGAGAAGAAGATGTGTTGTTTACGAAAATTGGTGTATGTGAAGCGGTGAAGAAGGTGATGGATGAAGATGGTAAAGCTAGGAAAGAAGTGAAAGGTAACCACGAAAAGATACGGGAATTCATGTTGAACAAATATGTGCAATCTTCTTACATTGATAGCTTCATTCAAGAGCTTTGGCAATGGCTGGTGTACACCATCTTCTAGCAGGAAGAAATACTCGTCGGTGAGTTGGTTTACTCATCAATGATGGAAGTGTCGATTAAACTCGATTTCTTGATTTTTGGTTTAAATGATCCCCAAACTTATTTTTTTCTGCTTTATAGGGGCATAAGGTGAGTTTTGTCGGGACTAAATGTCCTGTGTCGCATGGTGTACCGGTTATGAAAGGTTGAAAAGGACTAAAAGTGCAGGTATTGGCCTACCTTATACCCACATAAAGCCAAAAAAACAATTTTAATGACTAAATCAAGCAACTTTGGAAGCATTGTAGGGTTATTGTGTCATTTTCCATTCTATAAAATAAAGGGCGTATAAAGTACTACATGCATAAATTGTTGGAAAATTAATTTTATTAATTTCCAAAAATGGATTTTCTCCATTTTTGAGCACAAATTTTGGACTCTAAATTTAATCAAAACTAACTATTGATTATATATTATTGCTCTCCTCCGTGTTATCTTCGTTTCGATATATCACACGTCCAAAACGGATTAAGATGAATGATAAATTACTTGTCAAAGTAGGGCAATTGGAAGAGAAAATAAAGGAGTTAAGTAGGTTTTAAACTCATCCCACATTGGTGGGATAATGAAAAGGAAATTGGTTTATAACTACAAAGACTAGAAAAGTTCAAGGACCACTGAACTTGTGCGCGCATGCAGGGGGTGCAAATGCGAGCCAACATTGGCTTCGGGCCACTGAACTTGTGTGTGAGCGCGCGTCCTGCGGGCACGAATGCACCACTGGTCAACTAGAAAAGTTCAAGGACCTTTTTGCAATAATTTCCTTTTCCTTAATAGTTACAAAAACGAATTAACAGCTATTAATCATAGATTTCGGTTTTGATTTCTTGATTAATTATCTTATTTAATTGTGACAGTTATGATTTCATTTTAATTACATCAGTTACATTGGGTAGTATAAATACAACGCCTATGTGACTGATTCGATACACCGAATGAAACGAAATCACTCTCTTCATCTCTTATGCTTCTTCTTCTTCTTCCATCTTTTGCTGAAACCAAGGTATAATCTGGGCCAAGTGAGGGTTCAGGCAATCTAGAAGAATTGTTTTCTACTGTTGTATCCTGCGAAACAAACACCCATATAGGGCAAATTTGTTTTAAGGAAACTGTGTCAAACACACGCGTCAGTAACAATTTAATGTTAGTTCTTTCGTACAGATCCTAGGGTTATATTTTTCCTAAGAGTCTTAAAACAAATCCTTTGTGCGAAACAAACTTGAGAAGGAAAAAAAATTCGTTTCCTGTTTCACCTTATTGTGCTTATAAAAGCGAATTTTTTTCCTACATGTATTTAACAGTTTAAGTTTATTGCATCCATAATCTATTACTGTTTTCAGAAATTGTTTTCTAAAACAGTTTTTTAGATTCCTACTTTTGTGTTCACAACTTTTCAGAACTTGTTTTCTGGAAATAGACAATACTTAACAACTTAGTTGTTATTGTAATCCAATCGTTAACAGTTTTATATTTGATTCCTCTTGTAGCATGACTACTGGTGAAAGTTCCCAACCACCAAAGCCTAATGCTACTCCTAATGCTCAAGGAGCTCCAATGATGACCATGCCGGCCAATCATGTTAAGAAACCTGAGAAGTTCTCTGGATTTAACTGCAAAAGGTGGCAGCAAAAGATGCTCTTCTATCTTACCACATTCAATCTTGCTAGATTCTTAACTAAAGATGCTCCTCGGATGCCCGAAGGAGAAGGAGATGTGCAAGCTTTAACTGCTATTGATGCTTGGAAACATTATGATTTCTTGTGTAGGAATTATGTTCTTAATGGTCTTGTTTATTCACTTTATAATGTATATTGTGACCAACGGGGTCATCGGGATGCTAATTGCAAGCTTCCAAAGAAGTCAAATGAGGAAAATGTTGTGGATAAGATAACCAAAGATGTGTCTGACATCGATCTTGCAGCGGTTATTTCTGAAGTTAATCTTGTGGAGTCGAATCCAAGGGAGTGATGGATTGATACGGGAGCTACCCGTCATGTTTGCTCGAATAGAGAATGGTTTAGAAACTTCAAGGTTGTGGATAATGGTGGCAATCTATTCATGGGAAACTCGGCCAATTCTGATATCCAAGGTGTTGGAAAGATTGTGTTGAAGATGATGTCGGGAAGAGAGCTGACGTTGAATGATGTGTTGTATGTACCCGAAATTCGTAAGAATCTTGTGTCGGATTGGTTGTTGAACAAGCATAGTTTTCGCTTGGTGTTTGAGTCAGATAAATTTGTATACCAAAAATGGTGTGTATGTGGGTAAGGGGTATGCTGATAGGGGTATGTTCAAACTTTGTGTAATGGCTCTTAAGCCAAGTGACAATGATGATAATGAAATGAACAACTCTTCAACTTACTTGCTTGAGTCTTCAAATATATGGCATGCTATATTAGGACATGTTAATTTTGATACTTTTCGTCGTTTAATTAAACTCTATCACATACCACACTTTCACATTGACTCAAAATACAAATGCAACACTTGTGTTGAATCGAAGTTAACACGACAATCTTTCAAGTCCATTCAAAGGACAACCGAACCACTTGGATTAATTCACACCGATGTGTGTGACATGAAATCAATTCCATCTAAGGGTGGAAATAAGCACTTTATCACTTTTATTGATAATTGCACTAAATTATGCTATGTCTATTTACTAAAAAGTAAAGATGAGGCTATAGAGAAGTTTAAAGTGTATAAGTGAAGTTGAGAATCAACTTAACAAGAAAATGGAAGTACTAAGAAGTGAACGTGGAGGTGAATATGTATCACCATTTGAGGAATTTTGTGCAAATCATGGTATAATCCATGAGTTAACTGTAATTATTTCCTTTTGGTTAACAGTTACAAAAACGAATTAAGAGCTATTAATCATAGATTTCGGTTTTGATTTCTTGATTAATTATCTTATTTAATTGTGACAGTTACGATTTCATTTTAATTACATGAGTTACATTGGGTAATATAAATACAACGCCTATGTGACTGATTCGATACACCGAATGAAACGAAATCACTATCTTTCTCTCTTACGCTTCCGCTTCTTCTTCCATCTTTTGCGGAAACCAATGTATAATCCGGGCCAAGTGAGGGCTCGGACAATCTAGAAGAATTGCTTTAAACTGTTGTATCGTAGGAAACAAACACCCATATAGGGCGAATTTGTTTTAAGGAAACTGTGTCAAACACAGGCCTCAATAACAATTTACTGCTAGTTCTTTCGTACAGATCCTAAGGTTATATTTTTCCTAACATAAATTTGTCATTAATGTCATATTGACAACCCATTAGGCATGTAATTCTAATGGATTTTAGACCATTTCAAATAGCATTGCATGATGTCAAAAAAACATCAGATATTTAAACACCTTTGTGGGAGAGAACTCTAAACTACTACACGATCATAGCTCATAGTAATATGTGCAATGTCTTATTCAACTCAAATCACTAACAAGATATTTTTTGTCCAAGAACAAAAAGTGGTCCTCCTTCCATATCTTATCATCAATTCAACCAATCAAGTCGTTTGAGCAGCTACACTTCACTACAACGGATAATGGCCCTATTGACTATGTAAGCATAATGACTTCTCTCTTAATCCTGAAAAAAATACAGACCATAATAAAAGTTATGTCATCATTTTATCATCTTTGTGACATGATATTTACAAAAATCATTGCAATAGAAACATATTAGCATTGACCATTGATGATACAACATCACATGCAATGTTAACAGACGTGTAAAACAAACAGAAAACAACAATAAACAACTAACAAAAAAAAGGTCAGAAAGTTGCTATATACAATTATAATATCTCTACTGATATACAAAAGAGTGTTCAACTCTAACATGCTGCAGCAATTGGTGTCAAAATGTTCATATCAACTTCACACTCTTCCTCTTCTTCATCATCATCATCAGCATCCCAAAGAAACCGAGCATAAGAAGCCATAACATAACTGCATCATCATCATCATCATTTAATAACAGATCAAAATGAGTAAAAAACATCCAAATGTAAACAAAGCCCTTTAATTAAAATGTAACGATATAGTCTATTATTCTTACCAGTCATCAGGGGAAGCTTGAACAGCTTGATCAAAATAACTTTGTGCACGAGGGGCATCCTCATGTGTCTCCCAGATCAAATTAGCATACATAGATAAAACATTTCCATCGCTAGGGTTTGCTAGTATTGCTCTGCTGCAGTACTCTTCTGCCTTGGCATAATCACATCTAACCTATTTTAAACAATAGATCAAACTAATCAATGATATGTGTATGCACAGAAACAAAGATTGATTTTAAAGATTCGTAAGTAAGGTTTCTCATGAGTACCTCTTTCAAGTATTTAGCGTAATTACTAAGAAGCATTGCGTTCCCAGGGTTTGCTTCGATCATGTTTTGATAATAAAAATCCGTACTATCATTCTCATGATGATTCCCGTGACCACCACGGCCGGAGATCTTCCCTTCACCGCCGCCGCCACCACCACCGTGTATACCATCGACCATAACACCAAATCCATGTCCGTTCTGATACAATCCAGAAGTTGAAAACAGAAGAACACCATCATCGCTTTCCTCTTCTTCCGACTCTTCTGCAACAGCTATAGAAGAAAGCTTACAGAGTGGACTCATACCTTTGGTGACAAAACTATCATTCAAATCTGCCTCCGATGAAGCTCTAGCAATCTTCTTGGGAGAATCATTCTTGGGATTTAACGAGTATAGTGAAATTGTTGGTGATCTGGGGTTACGGCCAATGAACAGGTGCTCCAACGATGACGATTCTTTTGAGTTTTCATGTCGAAACCATGAATTAAGAGCGGGATTCGAGGAGCTACGGAGTAGCATCTTCCAAACCGTAAAACCTGAAAAGAATCCACGACCGATTATATGAAAGAAGCGAAAGGGATTTGGAAGATTTTATAAGGGCAAAGGGCGTGGCGCGTAGTAGATCATGACCGTTGCTACACAGCTGCTATTTTTTATAAACCTTTTGTGAAGATGGTTTTAACATCAGGGGAAATAAAAACCTTTAATATTTTTTTAAAAACATGGTTTTAATTTGACAATACTTTTTTTGTGCATTCAAACTAGAATTTACAAAATTTACAAGTTTTTTTTTTTTCTGCTTTTGCTTTGTTACTTCGGCCAAATTTTCATTTTAAAATATAATTGAATGACCTTAAGACCAATCGTTCCAAAAGTACTAAGAATTTCATTTGTTCAAATATTATAAAAGATAATATCATATTAGAGTTGTATCGTAAAACTAGCGGAAGCTTCAAAACAAAATAAAACATCGATGCGAGTACAGTTATGCCGAAATTTATTGAAATACATTTACCTTTAAAACATAAACACGAAATTTATTGAGTTCCCTAATATACTACATATTTCAACACACATATAATGCATACCACCTGATGGATCACGACCTTTTGTCGTTCTGTCAGACTCACAGTCTATCGTCTTTCCATCATCGCTTGTAGACTCATGTCCTATCGTCGATCCGTCATGACCTGTAGATTTGTGGCATGTCGTCGATCCGCCATCATGCCATACCAATCATAAGAAGATATCATACAACCTATCAATCAACATACAAAAGACTATTCTAGTCGAATCATACATCTATACTGTAATAGTACTCCCACATCGTACCACATAAAGGGAATATAGTGCCACACATAATATAGTGAGAAACTCACCTGAATTCGAAGCTAGCAACCCAAGTCTTATGTATCTACTGAAGAAACAGGTAGCACGAACCACCTAATACCAATTCGAGACCAAACCTAATACCAATTCGACACCAAACCTCAGTCAAATATTCATATCCATAAAAGTTTAACCAAAAGTGAAACTGACCAAAAAGTCAATGGTCAATGATCAACAACCAGTTGTGTGGCGATGACGTTCCGTGTTCACTACCGGAAAAATAGTCGCAATAAAACCTTACCCGATGCGTCGCGTCCAGGGATGGACACGTCGTGTTTGGGCAAATTCACTTCTTCCATTGGGTGCTTAATCCCTTAAGATAAAACCCCTCACTTTCCAGAATCCATAAAATGAGGTTCTTAATGGATAAATTTTCCAATTTTATCCACGTGCAACCCTATAACATTACAAACACTAACCCTAGATCCAAAATATGTCCAAAAATGTTGAAATCTTCTTGCATTTCTCAAAGGGGACTAATCATGCATTCATTTACCCATAATGGGTTTAGAAAATCATCCAAATCAAACAACAACCTAGAGTTTTACAAACTCCAAGTGAATCATGCCTAAAGGAGACCAAAGTTTCATAAAACACTAGATTTAGAAAGGAATTAACCATAAAGATTAGAACTTTATGACTTACAATGGAGTAGGAGATGATAAGAAGGTTGGAAAACACTATATCTTCCTTCCCTTTGCACCAAACAATAGCTTCTTCTTCAAGATCCATAACAAAATGCACCAAAAACTCACTAAGGATGGAAAGATGCTACTTTAGGTTTTCTGGAGGGGTTGAGGTTGATGAAAAGAAAACCCTAGAAGTTAGAACCCTTTAAAAAGGATTCAAGGCCTGAGATTAGGGTTTGGACAAATTGTGGCGATGGGTTACATCGTACTTGATACGCATCAACATGTGTCTGGCGTGCCACGACCTTCAAAACAACATGTTGTGTCGTAGCCTAAATTCAATACTTCCTTAAACCTTTAAATAAGTAACTTACAAAATGAATATACTCGAAAAATAGGCGTTACAGAAATTTGCAAAGTTTCGTTTTAATTCACCAAAAAATGATGTTAGGGTAAAACCTTACTCTAAAAAAAACAAAAAAAAAAACAAAAAAACCCGAAGGTTTTTTATGTCAATATCCCTAACATTAACATCATCTTCTCATGTTTACTTTAGAAAGGAAAAGGGAAGAAAACCGTTTTTTATTTTTTATTTACTTTTTGATTTTTATTTTATGGATGGGAAAAGGAGAAAAGAGAAGGTTGTGTCTTCTCGAGTTTCATTTAAGGACGTGAATGAAATGGAACCTTTCTCCCATACCTTCTTTTTTCTTGCATTTCCCTCGATTCCAAAATCGAGAATAACGCTTAAGATATGATACAATCTTGGTCTACTGATGCAAAAATTATATATATATATATATATATATATATATATATATATATATATATATATATATATATATATATATATATATATATATATATATATATATATAGGGAAGGGTTATTTGGAAAACAAAAAAATCCTAAAAAAACCCTAAAAATCATAAAAATGCATAAAAAATACTTAGAGATCACAAAACTTTTTTTTGAAAAAATCGCAGCTTTTTATACAAAATCGGTGAAAAAAATTTTGAAAAAAAAAAATGTTTTTACAAAAAAAAATATATATATTGATTTTTTATTTTTTTTTTTAGCGAATTTTAACAAAAACCTGCGATTTTTTATAAAAAAAATTCAAATTTTTTTTTTGTGATCTCTAAGTATTTTTTTTTATGCATTTTTATGATTTTTAGGGTTTTTTTAGGATTTTTTTGTTTTCCAAATAACCCTTCCCTATATATATATATATATATATATATATATATATATATATATATATATATATATATATATATATATATATATATATATATATATATATATATATATATATTACAAAAGATATAATTTATAGTAGGATTAGGTTTAGTTATATGTTAAAATTCACTTCTAATTTTTAAAAAATAATATGTTCTTACAACTTTTTTTCGACTTTGCAAAATATGTACAAGAAATTGAAAGAAAAAGATAAAAGAAAGATCTTAAAAGTTAAAATACATATCTAAAAGAATATGATAGGGATCGAACCCGTACCTTATTGTGGAAGACAAACATGGCTACCTATGACACAAAAATAACATAAAATAATTACGGTGCTCGAAGTCGACCAATCTATGTGTGCGTGCTCAAGCGATACTGTAGGCTACACATTTCCATTGGCGGTCGGTCATGTCAAAAGGGTAGAAACTCAGGTTGTGTATGTCACAACTTCTTCCCCTTTCTCCCCTTTTAGATCGTTAACCGGCTATAAATTCAAAAAAAAATCCTTTTTTTACATATATAAACAATGGTAATTCCAAAAAATACCTATATAAACAACTATCTACCACTCCAAAAAACTAAACGTTCTCTCGAATTCCATTTCAACCTCTCCAATTCCATTCTAATTGTCTCAAATTCAATGGACTTGTCCTCTAGTTTCAATGATCATTTGTGCAAAAAATATGAAATAGAAGCAAACCATATTTTCTCATCTTCACCCGACAATGAAAAAAATAATATTCAACTTTTCTCGGCACTTTCTCAAACTACAAAATTGCTTCTTTAAAAGATTGCAACTTCAAGCGTGTGTAGCAATTCAATAACTCTTGTGAGGAGTGATCATGAAGCACCCAAAAATCAGCTAATTTAAGATTACTTTTTTGATAATGCAATCTTTGGTAACAAACATTTTCGAAGAAGTTCTGAGATGAACATGAACAGACAATTATTGATGCATAGTGCTGAAGATATAGAAATAAATTATCCATAATTTCAAACAACATAGGATGCAATATTTCATAGACGTTTCAATTTGTTTCAAAATGCATATATGAAAAAAGAAAACTAGCATACGGGAACACGACAAACACATTGGATACGTGCCTAAATATGTCGGAAGAACTTCATGTGAACATCCTTAACACGTATGCTATAGTATCATCTAGTTGTATAAAGACGAATATTTGTGAAAACTAATAACCAACAAGATTAAACTTTTATACTCTTTACATGAGCGCAAACATGGATTTCCTATAATGGTTGGTAGTATTGATGGCACACATTAGAGCTGGAAGAATTTCCTAACAAAAATGTGAGTCCAATATTCTTGTTGTTGGTTCATATGCTCAAAAATTATCACAAAGTGATATTACCAATAACATATGATCCCATAAGGCACACCTGTTGGGTCTAAAATTATGGTTTATACTTTGTTTTTCTAGACAAATGTATTTTTATGTCTAGGATCGTAAACAGCTTGGTGTTTACGGCTGTATATGAGTTAACGGCTGTGTTTACGGCCGTGAACAGGTTTACGGCCGTAAACCCATTCACGACCCATGTCTACTATATATAGTGAGGAGTGCATGTGAGGAGTGTGAGGCTAGAGTGAGGAGCTTAAGTGTGTGAAATCCAAGGTGTTCTAGAGAGATTCACTGATTCTTCTTCTTCTTCTCTTCTATGTGTATGGAGCATCAATCTATTCATTGAATACATCATAGATTCACTGATTCTTCTTCTTCTTCTCTTCTATTTTGATCTGGCATCATCCGTTTGATTGGGATTCCGCACCATCAAACGGATCTGATTGATACACAAGCAAATTGGGGACTTACAATTGGTATCAGAGCTTGGTTTGTATCAATCATTTTTGTCAGATCTGGAGCTTATTTGTTCTTATTTTTGAAGGATTTCTGCGTTTTTGGATACATCTTGGCAAAATAGGGGAGGTTTATTCTTCGCGTTTTTGATAAAAACGAGTTTTTGATCGAGTTTTGGAGCAAAAAGAGGTGAAAAACGTTGTTTTTCACGTAATATGCTGAGTGTTTACGACCTTTGAAGATCATCAGAGTTTACGGCCTCGGAGTTTGTGGCCAGAGTTTACGGCCTCAGAGTTTGCGGCCTCGGAGTTTACGGTCCGAGGTTCACGACCAGCAGCAACATCGCACGTGTACAGTCGGTGTTTGCGGTCCTCGACTCGGATTGGTTCCCAGCCTCGCTTCGGACGTTTACGGCTCGGCTTCGCTTCATTCTCGTCCTCGCTTCGCTTCGCATCTCAGCATCCTCGCAGCGTGCTTCCATTAAAAAAGGGATCGATTTCGGGG